CGTTAATACACTATACTAATAATAACAATTACAATAATAATGGTTGGACACAAAAGTAGGTTATGCATTTATTACATTGAGATATAGCGAATCAAACTGGGATACACTGGGATAACTGCTAAATGATTTATCACATTGAGATATCGTCTTTCAAACTAGAATAATTGCAAAAATACAAAAATTGAACACTGTACCACAGATCACAAACGTTTCTGAAGCAATGGCGTCGAAAATAGTCATCGCCGTTCGAAAAGTAAACAAATCGGCATTGTGAAAAGTAAACAATTCAGCGATTTTAAATCAGCTCGTTTTGGTCCCAAGACTGGATCCACTATTAGACCTAGCTTGACCACAGTACGGAGTCATGCGCGTTAAAGTCTCCCATTAACAAAAAGGACCCCTCCACGTCGTCGAGTAGCAGAGACCACCGGTCTCTCCATAATTACATTCGGCGGAATATATGGGGAGATTATGTTTAGCTCACCTATGACTGTGTGCACGAACTGCAAAAATTTAAAAGCTGGTTGCGTGCCCTCGCAAATTTGAAAATCGAGTGTTGGTACCTTCAGTGGTTTCTATGGAACCTTAATTCAAACGAAAGCAATGAAAAGCGTAAATTGGTTTCTCCACTAACGAGTAGTTTTGGTATTTCAGTGGGTGCGAGAGATAACTCGTGGGCATGAGAAATATGAGAAATGCTGATACATGTTTATTTACTTTTGAAATCGCTGTAGCTCTTTTGTCTGGGATCTACAAAGGCATTTCATGGCATTATTTGGACGCCATTGCTTCAGAATATACGTGTGAGTTGTGCTAATGTGATTGTTATAATGTCTTCCGGATTTTTTTGTATTGCTTGTGCAAAAACATATGCTTGCCATTTCTCCCTGCGATCAGGTAAAAAATACCATCCAGGTAAAATATAAATTTATTTGTATTAATTATTATAAATTATTAAATTCATCTTATAGATAGCTTGGACGAGATTGCACCAAATAAAATTAAATAACTTACAATTTAAATCCATTGATGATGATGATCATGGTACAATGAAAACCAGCTCATATTCTCGGACAATATATAATTGTCATAGAACAGATTATTATAAAACTAAAGGCTATGGAGAAAGACACTTGAAAACCACAGGCTCCAAAAAAATTAATGCCTTTTGTCCTGCAGAAATTATTTTGCTAGATCAAATGGAATGTACACTGTAAAATATACAAGTACCCACATTGGCCACAAAAATGAATTGAAGCACATTCATCTTTCTGATAATAATGACGAGACAGATTCTCTCTACAATCCCAAATTAGAGAGAATCCATTTACTAACGAACAAGACTTGCAGAATATTGAAAGTAGTTATAATTTAAGACCTACCGCAATTCGTCACCCAAATGACGCTCAAAGTGTGGAATTGTGGATTGATGAATTAAAAAACAATGGCTGTGTTCCATACTACAAACCTCAAAATGTGTACCAGCATAGTGCCTCAAAATGTGCTTTACCCATAGGACAACACAAAATGCTCTTAACATATGGATCAGACTGCATATGTATGGATTCAACGCATGGACTGAATGGCTATGGGTTTCAATTACACACATTGTTGGTATTGAATAGTGCAAGGGCAGGATTCCCTTGTGCATTTTTAATTTCGAATCAGTCTGATGAAGAGGTTTGCACTCTATTTTTATGTGCATTAAGAATAGATGTGCACAGCCAAAAGTGTTCATGTCAGACATGGCTGATTCATATTACAATGCATGGGTCAAAGTAATGGATCCACCTGAATTTAGGTAGTATTGTTATTAATGTTGAATATTGTGTGAGTAACTAATATTAATTATTTTTTAGATTATATTGTTCACCAAAGTGAAACAGGTATGTATAAACTGCAAAAGTTTTAAAACATTTGAATTTTTAATTATATTAATTTTTAGATCTTTGTATATAAAAAATTGAGATTACTACTGGAAGAAACCAATGTTGAAACCTTTCAAATAATGATTAGACAATTTATAGAATGTCTAATGCAAGATGACAACACAAAGCACTTTGGAAACCTATTATTTTAAGAAAGCTATGACTTGGGCATATTGCTATAGAATGTTTAAATACAAATATGCACCTTGAACATAACATAACTCTTAAACATTTGTAATTAGATGGCAACAATACCAAAAGGCTAGATATTTGTATTCATTCGATAATGAAATATATCAAAGACAAATTTTATGACATGCTCATAATGTTTAACAAAGGAAAAATAACTTCCAAAATCAAAATTTTGAGATCCAGGCACATGGATCAGGCAAATTTAATGTATGTTCCAAATCAAATATATACCTCATTCAGGACAATAACAGCTCTTGCAGTTGCTCAATTATTTGCACTAAATGTGAGGCATGCATACACAAATATTCTTGCACTTGCATTGATTATGTAATTCAATGAAATATGTGCAAGCATATCCATTTAGTGCAGAGATATAAGCAAACAAATCCAGAACTAATTTCTAAACCTGAGGAAAAAATAGATTCAGGTAATTATTTTACAGCAAGGATATATTGATGGATTGATTATTTTCTCATTTATTTCAGATGTTGACATGGAAGTTTTTAGTAACATAATAACATCAATAATTGACTGTCAGCAAGAAGGTAGAGGATAAGACAACAGAAGCCTGTATTAATGAACTGAGATATTCGTTTGAGGAAGCTCTCAAAAAAATTTCTAGCAATGAAAAATACGATGCCACGTCAAAACATATTTTTTCATTACATAAAATTTTAGATAGTATTGAGAGGCCAAATAACAGAATTATTTTGAAACATATAACAAAAATTTTACTCCACAGGGACGGTTATTTTCCACAAAAAAGGTAAATTTAATAAAAGATCAGAAGAGAAGGAAAATAAGAATGCATAGTTTATATTTTGTTTTTTATTTTTATTCATAAAGTTTATATTTCGTTTTATATTTTTATTAATAAAGTTTATTAATTTTATTATTATTTTATTTCCATATTTGCTCTAGTGCCCTTGGTTATTAACACTTAGGTATGGTTTATATTTTTAAATTATATACAAACAATTAGTTCTTTTGAAAAACTCCACACACAATCTCGCCAGATTCAAACTTTTGATGTCCTAATGCGCATGCTCTTGAACAGCTTTTAAAACGATAAATTGGTGAAGTCAAAGTATAGTCAAATTATACAATTACATAAATAATTACAGGCTTCTCTGTAAATGTAGCCAACTAAATGTTCATTTATATTATTACAAGTTCGGTACCACATATATTAGTTAATAAAAAATAGAAATAACAATTTTACAGTCCACTACTCACTAAATCTAAAAATAATTTATTAAAATAAATAAAAATTGATTAGCTAATGATTACATATTTCATACGTCTTTACTAATTAATTTCTCCATTTTGCAGAAGAAATAACATAATGCATCAAATATGGTTTTCACAACAAGTACTCGGGTAGTTGATATTGAACCTACTCAATCCAGTATGTAAAAGTACCAACAGGATGAGGAACAAAAAAGGGTATTTTGTTGGAATAGGCCCTACTCAATTCAATACATGGCTACTGGAAAATGATCTGAAGCATATTGGAGAGGTGCAGTATGTTCAGTACAATGTCTGTATTTTTGGATATACATCCCACAACTGGACAATTGTATCTTATTTCTGAATAGTTATATTTGTTTACTATTGTGCAATACATTTTAAATATACACTTACTGGAATTTACTTGTAGTTCCGTTTATTTAAATCCTAAATAAAATTCGTAAGGGAGTTTGCCGCTTTCTGTGATATCCAACCTTGGGAAGTAGATCCCGTAGGAAACCGATCTGGGACGAACCGAGCCATCCGTATAAACCTGCAAGTACTCCCAGAATTGTTCGGCAAACTCTAGAAAGATCCGATTGTACAGCCAGATTACTGAATTCCTCTCTAGTTTTTAGGAATTTTGTGCTTGTGATTCCTGCGGCACGAGGTGCAGTGAAAAGTTGTAGCGCCGAGTTGTCGATTTTGGGCACCATCGATTCCACTTCCCCAAAACAGGAAGTCACAATGGACTCCCTTTGCTTCTCCAATATGGTGATGTGGGGGAATGTAAGCAGCTACGATATGGATTCCGTTGGTCTTGACGATGACGAATTGGGCGTTGAGAGGGTGCCGAAATGTAGGAATATAGAGAGAAGCCTGTATCGAGGCGTTGTCTTCTATTGTGTAATGTCTTGTAATTAGGGATAGAGCATCTGATTCCTGGGCCAGGTTTCGTTAAGAAGTACGATGTCGATTTGATTGTTGTTCAAGATGCGTCTAAGATCAGTTGCGTTGGCATGGATGGATCGAACATTCCAACTAACTACTGATAGTTTCACATCCATTCTGCTATTTTGGATCTCTTAACGTTCTTATTATTTCATAGATGGCTGCGGTTATTTTTCTGTGCGTTGCATAGCGTCCTTGGCTGACGCTGAGTGCCAGCTTTTGTAGAAAGGCTATCGCAGCGTCGGTGGTGATTGGGGGATCGTCATTCCTTAAAAAGGGTTTTGGTGGTCGGTATTCCGATATTTCCGGTGATTTTCTACTCCTGGGCTTCTTCCTTTTTGGCGAAGGACTTGTTCTAGCGTAATTATGCTCTGGTGTTTTGTACTTGTGAGCTAGGACAGATATTTTTTTTAATTTTGTTAGTTTTAGAGGGACATGCTAAGGTCGATGCATACGAATTTTTGGTGTACACCAACGGTCTGAGTTAAGGAGAATCTTCTTGGTTAAAGTTTTGGCGAGGCAAATCTTTCTCCATTTGGAAGCTGGGTTGTGTTGGTTTTAGGTGTTCCCTCGCTTCGAAGAAACTGTAGTTGTACCTGACCATGGCCTCTTTTATCTGTTTCTGTTTGATGTATTCCGGGCATTTTCGCTCGGATAATCTAGCGTTTACTTCATTGGTTAAATGTTTGCCCTCGCAATACGCGCAAGTGGGATCGTCTTTAGACGGACAGGACTCTAGCTGGTGGTTTTCAGAGCAGGCTGGGCATCGAACCAATTTCGCTTTACAATTTTTTTGCGTATGTCCATACCTGAGGCTTCCAAAGCATTTGATGACTCTGGGGATATAGTCTTCTGGTTTTCGATGATTTAGGTAGATCGTCACTGATTCAGGGGCTCGCTTTTCGCATATTTTTTAGAATGTCTTCCTCCGTGATGGTTCTATCGATATCACGAATGATTGCCCTACATGATATGATGTGAGAAGGTATGTATGCTTTCAATTTGTTACCGCCCAAAAATTCCGAGGTGAGAAATTCATTTGCAAAATTTTACTTTCGACTTTATTGATTCTATTTTTGATCGTGAGGGATAGCTTGTATCCTAAGATAGTTTATCGTGTTTATAGTTGGGTCTATTGGTTCTGTGTTTATTATGAATGGTCCGGTGTCTTGTTCCTTAAAGAAATTGATGGTCCGACGATTAGCATTTATAGTGTAGATTTTTTTCTAAGGTTTTCCTAGTTGCGTTATCTAGTTTTCCGCAATCTCCCTCTTTCGGGTTTTCTATGATAAAGTTAGCTAGTTCTGTTTGGACTGTGTCTTTTATTTTGATGTTTTCCAAATATTTGTTGTCTGGATCTGGTGTCGTGTCCCGGGATGGAATATCTCTGGACACTGTGGAATAATTTGTTGTATTGTCGATGTGGAGTCCTAGTAGGTTTTATGGAAGAGACTAGATTAAAGTCAGTGTATTAATGTATTTATTTAACACTTAGATCCTGGTGATTCTTAATCTAGCTTCCAGTTGCTTCAAGCATAGGTTGCTGGTCAAGAGTAGAGTCAAACTAGAACTAACTTAAAATAACATAAGTGTTGTCTTATATGTAAGAAGACACCTTGAATACAGAATAATATTTTAAGGGTAGGGGCTAATTTGCCATGTGGGATGTACGTCATAGGCGCCGTCGGGGATTTGCTTATGTCTCCCGCTGTCGATAAGGTCTAAAGGGTGATAAATCTTACAATTGTTTGGGGAGGTTAATTTTGGGCGGCATAGTTTTTA